GGCCCTAATCGCGAGCAGGCTGCAGTGTGACCCCGACAGTCACCTGACAGACACTCTCCCGCTCACAGCCTCCTCCCTCACCCCATATCATACTGACTGATATTCCCGGAACGACATACATTCAGCCACACACACACCACCAGAGATTTATACCCTGACACGCCCAGAACTACACACATTCAATCACACACATACCCTGACACCCCCAGAACTACATACATTCAGCCACACACAGATCCAGAAACTCACACCTCCACATCATTTGTGACTGGCATGCCCAAAGAGGGCTTAGATTCAGATACACAGACCCAGAGATTGAAACCCCTCACAACCACACAAATTCCTACACACATAGACCCAATGACTGACTCTCACACTGAACCACAAACTACTGCACAGATGCCAGTGACTAACACCCTCACAAACCACCCCAGCGACTGACCTACACACAAACACTCCAGACTGACACGACCACACAACCCCAATGACTGTCACAGACTGACACATCTACATACACACAGATCCTTTACTTTTTTGAACACTTCATTTCTTTCCTTAATCTTAAACTTGAGTGCTCACCCCAGAAATCTAAAACTAAGTTTTTGTAAAATATTTACATATTAAACATGGAGCAAATAATAACATGAATCTATTGTCTCAAAATGTGTTGCACACTTTTCCCTTTTTGTTATTTTACACCTTGATCTTTCCAAGATTTGCACATATGGTTAAATTTGCATATATGGTTAACGTGGTCTACATGTTTTGTTAGTCTATAAAGTGCTATCAGACCATTTGTTGTTTTTTTCTGTACAGAGTAACTCAGCTACCCTGAAGTTTATTAATTGAATTAATCTTTTTGATTTCTAATTCAAAGGTGATACTTGGTACACAAAAATATCACTACTGGAATGCAATGAAGTTGATGGCTAGGGCAGGAAGCTAAACAGAGAGCTTCTTCCCAGTCTTGTTAATCTTGTGAAAGTTACATAGGAAAACTCAAAACCAGGGCAAATCTTCACTAATTCTCCTGTTAGCTTAGCAACAGGGAGCATCAGGAAAACTGTCATCTTCCATTCTATCTGCCAAAGAGAGCAGAATATTTATTTGGGGTTGTTTCTGACTCCAGAATAAGTGGTTTTGTCCTTATCACTTAGCAAGAGTGGATAACAAACAGACTCAGGTTTCCTAGCCACTGTCAAAATAAGGAGCTCTGAACTAAAAAGTGGGAAAGTGACAATTCATCAGCAATATGAACCCCAAGTCGATTTAAAGGTGTAATTACAGAACCTTAGTGAATATGTGCATGAAATACCTCAGGGTTACACAATACATAAGTGATAACCATGAGGTTAAGGAGGTATGTGATCTCCACCTTCACTATAATATAAACAAAAATAATTATATAGCTGGGAAGGGACAGGACAAGACTAGTCAGATTTCTGACCCGTATATCTAGTGCTTATTAATAACAACAAACAAGTCTGTAAATGTTGCACAATTGCAAACCTAGAATTGGCGTTTCAAAATGTATCTAGTTTGGTGAAAAGGGGCTCAAATAAGATGCAAAATTACAGCACAGATTAACCAGTACTGCCAGTATTTTACAATTTTATTAATCAGTTCATTTTCAATATGAACAAATAAGCTCAAATTAATTATTTCGAGATCATGGTTATATTGTAATAGTCAAAGAAAACAGAAAATGGAAAACCTATAAAACCTGCATCATGAGGAGTATCTGATGCTAGATTAATCCATATATTAGACATATATAGGTGGGAGGAGACAGACAGGTCACAAGAACTCTGGTTATCTTGATTTTCAGGCTACTGTACTGAATTGGTTTCAGAGGGGTAGCAGAGTTAGTCTGTAACTGGAAAAACTTAAAAAACAACAAATAGTCTAGCAGCACCTTAAAGACTAAAACCCACATAGACGGTATCATGAGTTTTCGTGGGTACAACCCACTTCTTCAGATGTGATCTACAGAAGTGGATTGTGCCCACAAAAGCTCATGCTACCATCTATGTTCTGTTAAGTGTGTAAGGTGCTGCTAGGCTATTCGTTTTTAAATTTTGTACTGAATTGGGTAAGTCTTCCATGTATCCTGTGCAGGTCAGATTTTAAGGATCCCAATTTCGTTTTGACACGGACACGGTTGCCTAACACTAATTTCAGTATGCCACACAGCAAGGCGCTGCACATACAGTGCAGGAGCAGAACGCCATGCTCCCGCACCATGGCAAGAGGAACTCATTGCACGGCAGGGAAAAGCCCAACGACAGTGCTACATTGTCCTGCATTTTCCATTGAGGGACTGCGCTGCTCGAAAACTGGCGTCTGATGACGGGAAGGGAGGAACGGCCCTTTA